CTGCCAGGTTTACCTGGCCACCTCTGCCCCCGTCCCTCCCCCACCCTCCAGAGGACGCACGCCCAGAGTCAACAAGGCACTCGACACTCCAGTCTTGGCATGATATGAGACAGCCGGCCATTGCTGGGCCACAGGAGCACAACCATGAGAAGCAAACCTCGTTACACCTCATGCTCGCTTGTATTTACTCGCATTCCCAAAGGATTTAAGGGTCCCATGTCCCCCCATCCAAAGGGTGACCCCATACACCCAGTCTTCCCAGTCTCCCACTCCCAGTCTCCTTCCCCTGCATGCCCAGGGCACCAAACCCAGCCCCGTGGGCCACCTTGCTCCAAGCCTGGGCGCTGGACACAGACACTTTACCCGACTTACTCCAAATGGCAGATGGCAATACCCTGAGCCGTGTGGCCCCAGACCCCACGACACCCACACCACGTGCCACCCACTGCCTAGGCCTGGCTCCAACTCCACCCTCTGCCTTCTCCTCCTCCTCCTCACTGGCCGCAGGCCCCAGACCAGGGACAGGTCAGATACAGCAGGTGAAGTACCCGATGCACCCTCCCCACCTACTTCCTTGGGTCCCTGCTGGGGTCTCCTTCCTGAAACACACTTCTGTTTACTTCATCCGGCGAGCCACACTGTTGCCAATGGGACCGTGACACAGCACAGCCCTGGTAGAGAGGCCACTTGGCACGGCCCTGTGCCGGCCACTGAGGCCTCTGTTCTCTGCCCGCCCGAGCTTATGGAGACTGCTCAAGCTTCAGACGCTGTAACTGCCTACTCTAGGACAACTTGGGCAGGGCCATGCCACCTCAAACGGCCAACCAGCCTAAGGAGCTTCATCTGAAGCAGGCATAGAAGTCTGCGTCTCCCCACCTGCCTCCCGGTCAGATTGGGGGAGGCCGATCTTTATGCCACACACACAGCAGGTGAACACCCTGGCCAATGGGGCGCTAGGAATCCAGCCCCGCGCGGACAGTTGTATACGTGGCACTCTGTGGCCTTCGCGAAACTTCTCTGGAAACTCGGGGTTTGCTACCCGGGTCAGCAGCTGACCCTGGGAGCTGTCTGGCCTCTGCTCTGCTGGTCGCGGCCAGGAGGGAGCCAGGCAGGGCTGGAGCGGCTCAGTGGAGGGAGAACAAATGGACCTCAGTGACTGTCCCAGGCCCCAGAGCAGAGGGAGGAGGCAGCCCCAGGACTGGGGAGGGTCTGTGGTGAGAAGTGGGTCACTCCTGCCAATCAGCACCAGGTGCCCAGTGGCCCGACTCTGACTGACAAAGCCTGGAGAGAAGCGTCGACCAGGAACTCAGTGACCAGCTGCCAAGGCCCAGGGGAAGGGGGTCCTGCAGCCAGTGTCTGGGGAGACGATGGGCGTCAGGCCCTATGCTGCCCACAGCAGCCGCACTCTGAGCTCATCTGAGCCTCGGCTCCTCACGTGCCAAACGCGGCACTGACAGTCCCTCCGTCACAGAATGGCAGAGAGGACTAGAGGATGGCAAGAGCACCGGGGGAGCCCAGTACTGTGACCCTGCCGGGCTCACGTCATACTCTAGACCAATATCCCTCTTTGGAACCTGGCATCTGACAGAAGAAAGGCGAGTCCCAGTAAATCGTCCAGAAAAATGGCCAGAGTCCAAAGACAAGCACCAACCACACACAGAGGGAGAAAAGGAACGATGAAGGGTTGTCCAGTGACCCAGCGACCAACACCAGGTTTCTGTCAACACAGTGACGCCGCGCACAGGCTGCTCGCTCCTCTGGGACACACACCAGTTACTACCTCCGGGGCGTACATCTCATGCCAACACTGGGGACGAAACAGCAGACGAGATGCCACAGGCATACTGTCCGGAGACCGTCCTGACTCAGGAAAACAGCACAGTGGGGCATCTAGAGAGGCAGTCTCTCCTTGGGTTGGCACTGAGAATAGAAACCAACTTCCAGCTGGCCGGAACCGTCCCGTGAAAAACCATGGGGGGACATGGTGACCAACGGCCCAGCCATCGGGTTGCTGAAGTGGGCTGAAGCCACGCTCTGGACCGGTCCCACGTGGGCACGGCAGGCGCTGTTTGGTCCTACAAACATCAACAGCCAGCAGGCCCCAGACACTCACAGAGACATCCTGCTTGCCTGGTTTTGTCCGTCCCTGTCACAAACACCACAGTCCTCCTACCTTCCCCGCCCCCCAGACGCTGGGCTCACAGTACACTCAGCAGCTCCCACCCACACGGACCCCAGAAGAGCAGACAGGGAGAAATGGACTCGCGTTCACTCTGGAGTCTTCTGGGACGCAGGCCTATCAACCACAGCATATTCTCCTCAACGTGAAGGTCTGTGGGAACCAAGGTGCTCAGCGTGTCACTGCCCTAAATGCTCACTACCCCCAAAAAAGCGGGAACAGGCCTGTGCACTGTAGCAGGACACTTCCTGGGCTCCTGGGAGTATCCAGGAGTACCCAGCATGTTGCCCTGGGGCCAGCACAGACACACTGCCCACCACGCCAGGGCGGGTGACCTAGGGATGCCCTCCGGGGTACCAGCTCCTCACAAAGCACGGGCACCTCCTTGCTGCCAGCTTTCACAACCAGGACTCCCCGACACCCCCGCAGATGGCCCAGGCAGAACCTCCGTGCACAGTGTCCTGTTGCCTCCCCAGGAGAGCAGGGGCCTCCTCTGAACCACTGCCGTGTATCCCGAAAAGAGAAAACTCAAACCTCCTGAAAGGAAGGCTTCCCGATCTACAGAGACCTGTGAACACAGCGCACACTAGAGTTACCAGACACCCAGGGCCTGCTGCAGGCGCCCCCGGGTGTGGGCGCACTGTCACAAGCGGCTGTCGCTGCTCCGGTGTCGGGCAGAGAAAAGGCCGCTCAGCGACTCGTGTGCTTGCAGAGCAGGGAGACGACGCGTGCCGACGGACCTGTCTAAAGAAGGAGCTGGACGAGCCTCGGCCGCGGGTGAGTAAGCAGGCCGGCCCGAGGAGGAGAGTTCGACTGCATGTCCTTCAAGTGGGGATCCCCCGCCACGGGTCCTCTGCTCCCGTGGGACCCCGGAAGGCCAGGCAGAAAACAAGCTGAACGCGCGGAGGGCCTGTCACGACGGAGAGGAAGAACTGCAAGTACGTCCTTCGCAGGAGCGTCAGGAATCTACGACTCAGGTGATGGGGAACCCTGAGAACCAGCTGCCCCAGAGCTTCCAAAGCCCTCCAGACTCTCCCTCAGGAAGCCTCCAGAGGGACAGAAGCAAGTGCTCACGCAGCTGCCAGCTTCCCCCGGAAGAGAGCCCCGGCCGCTGGGTCAGCGAGCTCAACCCCGACCCTACGCAGCCCCTCCTGCCGCGCACGTGTTAACCTCAAGGAGCCCAGACCCAGGGTGGCACTCTGCCCCTTCCGCTCCATGCCGCGGTGATGACAGGGACCCGTGAGCGCACCCCCACTCAGCACCCGGCAGAGGGCCATCGCGCGAGACCGGCGCACTGTGACCGACAGCTCCGCCGCCTGAGGCAGGTCCCCACCCAGTGAGTTTTCCTCACTACCGGCCCCAGCTCAGTCAATGTGTCACAGGAACCGTGGCAAACATCACCACCCGAGAGAGAGCGCAGGGCTTCGGCCCCACCTCTCCAGGGGCTCTGGGTTCCCCGAGAGTTCGCTGCACCCCACTGGCCCACCTGACCCTCAGAAGCGTGTAGCAACGTTCCAGGAAACCACCGCTGCCCCAGACGAGGTCTGGCCTGCCCAGGCTCTTCTAAGCCCATGCCACCAGCCACCCAGGACGAGGGCTCCAGGAAGCGATGCCACCACTGGAAAAGCAGCTCAGCCACTCACTGTCTAAGGCAGGACAGACACCTCTGACCGTCACTGCCCAGCATCCACTGGGGTGGCAGTAACGGATGAAGGGGCCCGTTGAGGACGCAGTGGAGGCTCCCCCATCCCTAAAAAATCCTGCGCCCCCCCCCCCCCCGCCACTTCTTGCCATCTCCTCTAAGGTGAGGCTGAGAGCTCGGGGCTCAGGAGGCGGCCCGAGCAAATCCAGCACAGCTGCCTATGGCCGAAACTGCTCCAGCAGGAAGGGCGTCTCGCTAGTGCAGGTGATCCAACAACCTGGACCAGCCCTAAAATGAAAGGGTCGGAGAAGCCGGTCCACACAGTCAGCTGCCTATAAGCAACAACTTAGCCAACTGCAGATGCTGGGAGCAGTCAGACAGGACTGACAAGAATCCAAGAAACAAAGTAACAAAGGGTGTGGAGAACAAAGGCCCGAAGAAGTAAAATTAGATGAAGATCCCTGCGAACATTGAGCTGCTGTCATGCTCTCTGCAGATTTCCTGGTCCCCCTCGAAGCACCCTCCATGTGGCAGGGCACAGGGCCCCATCACAGGGCAGTACTGACCACACTGATTCCCGCGCGCCTCAGCTGTTATTTTAAGGAAAAGATGTAAAGTGGTGAGCTCAGCGCCGGGACTGCATTAGCTGCGACTTTAACGATACCACGAACGGAAGGGTGGGCGTCTCCTTCCACCGAGCACCGGGTCACGTCCCGGGGGACAGCCTGGCTCGGAGGAACCCCGTCTGCGCGCAGACACCACGGGGTCACGGGAAAGCCCCGGCCACACCTGGCACACCTGTCCCAGCTTCTCCACTCGGCCTGCCCCTAACGCCGGCCGTCCGCGCTGGGGCCGCCGCCGCTGGCCCTCGGGGACATCCTCCCCGGGCTCCGCAACACCCCCACTCTCACGCACCCTCCGGGGCTGGGATGGCGGGTGCCCACGCGGCGCTGCGCTGCTGGACCCCGGGGCCCACTGCGGAGCCGCTCGTCTCGGTAAAGGCCCCCGGCTGACCCGGCCCGGGCACGCAGACTGCGAGCTCGGGGCCCAGCCGCCCCCGCCCCCGCCCCGCCCCGCCCCGGGCTCCCGCCCCCGCCGGACAACCCCGGCTGGGGGGCACGCGCCCCGCAGACGCGCGCCGGCGGCAGGGAGGGCGGCGACCCCGCGCCGCGGCCTTACCGTTGCTGTAGGCGTACGGGGACTCGGCCGCGCCGTCCTGCAGGCTCTCCAGGATCTCGCCCTTGCCCACGTCGCTGTCGCCCACCAGCAGGAACTTGAGCAGGTAGTCGTAGCTCTTGACCGGGCTGCCCTGCGTCCCCATCCTCTCACGCGCGCGCGGGCCGCGCCCGCATGCCCGCCGCGCCGGCCGCGGGAGCAGGGCGGGGAGGAGGCCTCGGACCGACCTGCGGGGCCGGGGCGCGCGTGAGCGGGGTCGGCCGGCGAGGCCCGGGCCGGCGGCAAGGGCCAGGCCCCGCCCGCGCCGCCCTCCC